ATGTCAGAAAGCAGTGTGTGTGTGTGTGTGTGTGTGTGTGTGTGTGTGTGTGTGTGTGTGTGTGTGTCAGGGGAAAGGGCCTTCTCGATTTTTACACGACTTACTCAAAACAGCTTTAGTCAGTGGGACATTTTGGCTAAACACAGGGAAATGCAGGTGAGCACCAGGCTTCCTTCAGGGGTCCAGTCCACTGTGGGCAATGCTATCCCTAAGCAGGTAGTCTAGCAGGCTGAGCAAGCCATAAGTAAGCTAGTAAGCAGCACTCTTTCATGGCCTCTGCATCAGCTCCTGCCTCCAGCTTCCTGTCTTGAGCTCATGTCCTGACTTCCCTTTGTGATGGACGTGATCAGGATATGTAAGCTGAAACAAACCTTTTCCTCCCTAAGTTTCTTTTGGTTGTGTTCACTGTAGTAACAGAAAGCAACCTGCCGTACCCTCACAGGCTCATGTGTCCGAACACTTGGTCCTCAACTGGTGGCAATGTTTTGGGAGACCATGCAGTCTTTGAGACAGAGGGCCTAGCTAATGGCATAGGCCATGGGGGCTGGGGCTGGAAGGTAACAGCCTGGCCCTGCTTCCACTCATTCCTGTCTCCTGTTTGGTACCGTGTGAGAAGCTGCAAGCTCCTGATACCTTAGACCAACCTGTTCCAGATTACCGCACCTTCTCAGCAATGATGAACTGTTCCCCCTGAATTAATGAATCAATGTTAAACTCTCCTCCACTCTTTCTGCTAGGCACTTGACAAGGTGTTGAGAAAAGTAAGAATTATTTTTTACCATACCTAGTGTTAAGAGGGAGCACAGAGTTTAAGTGCTGTCTCTGAGACCACCCAGTTGCTGAGTGATGGGATTCAAATCAAGGTAATCTAGCCTCTATACTGATGGCATAAAAGACTACCCTTTCACTCCGAAGTAAGATCACATGGAGCTCCAAATCCGACGATACTTTATCAACCTTTCCCATGTGCCTTGCTCTTTTATCAAAAGCCCCCCCCCCCACTGCACAATAGCATTGTTTTATTTTCTGATAGGGATAAGGGGCTGTTCCTCATGCCGGGACTCAGCATCTGTGTCCTGGTAGTTCCTAAGTCATGCCTCTGGGTAGCTGGCTCTGCTGCATAGAGGGTGGGGGGCAAAGACCCACAGTGACATTTACTTTCTGAACCGTGGAGGTGTTTGTTAAGCGAGGCACACGTCCCAGCACATGACAGCCACCTGAGCTGTGGTCCACGTCCATTGCTTTCCTTTCCTCCCTCCACCTCTAGAGAGTGGGTAAGAGGAGAAGTATGGAATTTATGGTTTCAGTAAGTTATTCTGAAAGTAAACAGAGCTGGGTTAAAGAAAGGAAGTTTTGCTAGTTAACTGTTAACCTAGCCTCTCTATTCTAAGCACGTCAGGCGTTTGACAGCTCACTGGATTCTGACTTTGGCTTGGCAAAGTTTAATATACAAGGAACGAATTGTGTTCATTGACTTCCCCACACCCCAACTTCAATTATGCAGTGAGCTAATCAATCCCCTTCATCTTCGTAAATAGCATGTCTTTCCTAGTTATTGGGAACTGGCTGCAATTCAGTCAAATGCAAAAATATTTACCAAAGACTTATTATGCACTTGGCACCATGAATATGGAGATTAGCTCACTCAATCATCCCTTCAGTTAATGAGTAGTTATGGAGTGCCGCAGTGTACTAAGCAAGGTCAGGTGCTAAGGGAGCAACAACAAATAAAGTGATCATGAACTTTGACCCCAGGTAACTCAGAGCCTAGCAAAGAAAAATGATCAAGTCCTGTTGAGCTATTCAGAATGATGTGTTCCGTGGAAGTTACCATGCTACAAGACTGCACGCTTAGTTGGAAGTTAGGCCCAGCCCCCTCTCAGGACACAGGACACAGCAGGGTGACAAAAGGACAGTCAGAGAAGAGCATTAGATGGAAAAGGGACAGATTTACTAGAAAGGAAGGGGCCTGTGTCTGCAGCATGAGGGTGGGTGTGGGAGGGGTAGGACAGGGACCATGCAGGTCATATGCTCTCCATGGTTAAGACAGAGGGGTCAGGAGAAGGGAGTCAGCAGGGGACCGTCATGATTATGTCCCTTATTATATGTGCCCCGGGGGAGGGTCGAGGGGAGGGTTGAAAGGCCACTGTAGACATTAGGTAAAAGGAGCAGGTAGAAATCAAAGGAGCCTCAGGATGGGCAGATGAAAGAGTACAGAACGAGGAAAACTAGACCCATGCTGATAAAAGACTAAATGTGGGGTTGGGAGGGAAAGGAACCAGAGATGAATCCTTGGCTTTGGGAAAGTGGCGCCCAGCCTAGGGTCTTCTGGACCTACTGAAATGGGTGGCCAGCTAAAAGGTGGCACAATTCTGCCTGGGGTCTGTTGGATCCATGAAGTTCAAGGTAGGTTTGAATCCCCAAGAGTATTCTAGGGTAGGCATCCATTCAAACTACCTAAAGGCCAGGGATACTTTGGCAGGCTCTGGAATGCCACTGAAGCCTCTGGAGGCCATGAGAGTAGTTGTGTGACAGAGAGTGACAGACTCCAGTGTCTAACCCCTGGGAGGGAAAGTCTGAGCATAGAGAAGCCATTGAAAGGGACATTTGAGAGAGGGCTCTGCCATAGAAGCCGGGTGTAGCTCAGTTGGAAGAGTGCATGCCTGGTATGCACGAAGCCCTTGGTTCAATCCTCAGCACCGCACAAACTGGGCATTGTGGCATATCTGTAATCTCAACACTCCAAAGGTAGAGAAAAGGGGAAGTCTGGGTTACATCAGACCCTGCCTGAAAAATCAGAAACAGAAGGAGACGGGGATCAGGGACACGGAAGGTAGAGGATGTTCATGACAGTCAGCGGCATGGCCATACACTGCTGACGTGCTTTGGAGCAGAGGTTGGGGTAGAGTCCAGCCAATAAGGGCTGGAGGGTGAAGACACAGAGACAGCTAAATGGGGGCAAGGAGTGATGTGATGTGAGAGCAGGCGAGTGGTGTGGGTCATTGTGCTTGGCCTGTAGGAGCCTTAATACTGAGGGTTCAACAGACTGTCAGGGCTTAGACAGACTGTAGAAGGAGCCGACTGTGAGATTGTAACAGCAGACACATGTAACCTATGGTCTGACTGTGAGAGCACTGGGTATACCGGAGGGGTCCACAGTAGGGACACCTGTCCTTTGAGAATGGAAAAATACATGTGAGAATATGAAATCGAAACAGCTGAGCATTTCTGTTGTCACCTACCTTGGTCCCTACCAGATGTCTCCTCCTGTGCACCCATGGAGAGATTTTAACTGTATTTGGGAGAAAATGGGATGTCCTTCATTGGGCAGTGCCTCAGTCACCAGGTGCTGATAGGAAATAAATAATGCCAGTGGACAGAAGCCAGCAGAGCAAGTGGGTAGTACATGGACACCACGTACCAGAGCCAAGCCTGACCTGACTGCCCCTTTCTCCTTTTTTACAGTCAACTTTGACCACTTCCAGATCCTGCGGGCCATTGGTAAAGGGAGTTTTGGAAAGGTAAGAAGAATGTACTTTTTAAAACAAACAAACAAAAAATGAAATATGAAAGTCTGGTTGCTTGAGCGTGTGTGTGTTCTGTGGGTCTAGGCATTTCCTGTCGACAGAAGATTTCTACTTGGTAAATCTGAGACATGAAAGGAAGCCTAAATGGTTTCCTTGGACTCTGTATTTTACTCTGAAAACAGAATTAACCGCAGAGTCTGGGCTTAGGTGACTCCCACTGGCAATTGCTTCAATATTGCTAATGCAGGTCTTCCTTGAGAGACATGGATGAGGAGAGTGGATCCCTCCTCCAAACTTAACATGAGATGGCTGTTTCTGGCTCTTGGACATTTGGTTTTTACAAAAATTTGAACTTGTAATTCTTGACTCTTTGGGCATAAAGGCCATAAAAATTAGGAGAAGGTAAGGTTTTTAGGGGAAAAGAGTTTCCCCCTAGCAAGACCTAATCTGTTCCCACAGAAACTTCTCTTTGCAATAATTGTTTTAAGTACCTTTGAAAACCCAGGTACTCCATTATACTCAAATGCTATTATTTACTTTTTATGGGTGAAGTGATTTAGACTCAAAAGCTTAGACCCAGTGACTAGCAACTGTATGCTACTTTTCTTACACCTGAGACAGAATGCCTGATATAAAAAAAACTTAAAGAAAAAAGATTTATTTTGGCTCATGCTTTCTATACACCATAAGAGCAGGTGGTGAGGGCATTTTCACTTCTGGACAGACATGAAGTGGGGATGGGTATAGGAAGGGGTGTGACTACTTCTAGCAGCTGAGGATGATGGGAGAGCAAGCATCCTTTGTTTTCATCTCGTGATTGAGAAGTAAGCTCTTTTTAGAGGAGGGCAGGAATATATCTGAGGCTCGCAGTGTCCTTGGGGTATTCCAGGAACTGACAGCCATTTTTACCAGTGAATATGGCCTTGATGGAGCAGGAACTTATCATACAATGGCGTAGGTGGACCAATGTGAGGACCAGCATGCTCAGTGGAAACCCCATTCCTGAGATAGAGGACCTCCTCCATTGGGAGACTTTTCTGGAGGTTTCCCCTTCTCTTTGCCTTGTGAATTCCCAATGGACCTTCTCACATAGCCCTTCTTAAATGCAGTGTTGAGGATCAATTCACTTAGCAGAATGTGAATGATTTGATGCCCAGTTCTGCCAGTCTAGACATAACTGCAGGCATCCTGAGGCAGCAAGGCCAGCCTTCCTTTTCACACCCCGTTTCCAAGCTCTTCAGTACATATGTATAAAAATGTTAGCTATTTGCATCATCCGTGGATTGTACCACTTGCTAACTGAACAGACCCTGGCCTCTTTGAGTCAGAGGGGCTTCCAGTGCACTGGCAGATCAGCCAGTGTTTACAGAAGAGACTCGTCCTTACATAGCATCACTGCACAAACAAGAGATCCCTGTGGAGTCACCATTGACAGAAAGCAGTTGGCTCAACAGTGTTTATAGCTGGAGAGTTTCTCTCTGGGTCCTGCCAAGCCCCTGCAGTCCTGCAGCCCACCTATCACCTAATCACTCAGACACGTACATTACTTATAAACTGTATGGCTGTGGCAGGCTTCTTGTTATCTAGTTCTTCTGTCTTAAATTAACCCATTTCTATTAAGCTATACCTTGCCATGTGGCTCATGGCTTACTGGTACTTTACATCCTGCTCCTCATCAAGGAAGCTGGCAGTGTCTCTCTGCCTCAGCCTTCCACTTCCCAGAATTCTCCTCTCTCTTTGTCCCGCCTATACTTCCTGCCTGGCTACTGGCCATTCAGTGTTTTATTTATCAATCAATCATCCACAGCAAGTGTTGCTGACCATCCAGCACAAATGCTGCTCCAGAAACATTGCTCCTTACATGGCTAGTTGTGAAAGTTGGTTTGTAGCTTCCAGGGGATTTTATCAGAAAGTCTTCAATCTGCTCAGAGCTGTACATCCTGGTTAGTGTTTGTCAACTTAACACAAACTGGAGTCATCTGGGAAGAGGGAACCTCAATTGAGGAATGGCTTCCATCAGATTGACCCATGAGCATCGTTTTGATTGATATGACAGGTCCCAGTCCACTGTGGGCAGCACAACCCCTGGGCAGGTGGTCCTGGGTTGTACAGGAGAGCAAGCCAGTAAGCAGCCAGGGTCACTGCTTCAGTTCCTGCCTCCAGGTCCTGTCTTCTCTGGATGATGGACCTGTAAGCTAAGACAAGCCCTTTGCTTTCCAAGTTAGTGTTGGTCAGTGTTTTATCACAGCAACAGAAAGCTAACCAGGGCAGGTAGTGTCACCTATCTTCACTGACTTGTGCTTTTAGGGTCCTTGCTTTATTGAAATGGCTAAACTCCCCCTTAGGAGTTGAGAAATCATGAGGAGGGGCAGCTCTGTTTTGTCCTTAAGGTTTCTCTTTCTTCATATGTATGTATGGGCATGTGGTGTACACCCAAGTGTGGGCACATGTGTGTGGGGGGGCATGTGTGTCCACACCTATGTAGAGGCCATCAGGAGTCTTCCTCAATCACCTGACCTTGTTCACTGGGGCAGGGTCCCCCAATTGAACTCAGAGCTCACTAATATAAGGCTAGTGTGACTGTCGGCTTGTTCTGGGAACCCCATGTCTCCACTTTCTGAGTGCTGGAAATGCTGGTGAGTTGCCATGCCCACCTAGCTTTTTCCTGGGCCCTGGGAATCCCAACTCCAGTCCTCATGCTAGCTCCCTGTGGTGCTGTAACCAAGGAGCCCCCTCCCTTCCCTGGCTTTACTTCTGAGCTCAGTGGGGAAGAAGCTGCTGCTTCACTGTGAGGATGAAGTCATCTCCAAGTTTCCCTGAGACCTCCTTTACCACATCAGGCATCCCCTTCCTGTCATGGCACAGTGCTGTGGCAGGCCCATGTTACAGGGGCTGTGAGTGAGTTCACCAAAGACCAGACTGATGGGAAAGAAGGATTTGATGAGGGATACTAGAAGGACTGTGACAACCAGTCTGCAGAGACGAGGTGGAGCCCCGGAGGCTGGGAAGCTTGTTTGTAGATTGTTATAAGGAAAGTGGTCAGGTCTCATTAGGGTGGCCCCTTTGAGGATGTTTCTAAGGGAATGGTTATCTGTGTGAACATCAGATTTTAGATGATCAAAGGCTTCTTATTAGGGCGGATTTTTCAGTAGTATCAGACTGGCCTAAGTTGATCACAAACAGGCTGTGCTATGCCAACTCTCCATAGAGGTAACATCCCTACACAGAGGATGCAGTAGCTTTGTACTGACCCTAATCTGCTGTGAGGCCAGACAGCTTTGTTCTGGGGCTGAAGTGTCTCAGCATAGCCATTTCCCCAGGTCAGTGTCCATAGTTTGAAACTCTGTGGCAGGGTTTGTCATGTCTGATTATTGAACTGCCACATGCTTTCCTTGTGTCCTTGGAAATAGCTACCCAGCATCTCTCATTTGAGAGTGACACTGTTTGGTTTTCAAATTTTAAAGCAACCTTGCATAATTCAGACAAATCCCAATTGGATATGCTACTTCAACCTTTTCCTATATCATTCAATATGATTTGCTAACATCTCACTAGAGATGACCATCTCTTTTGTCTGGGATGACGAAAGGCAAAACTCTTAACTGGGTCCCAGCCTTCAACTCTCTGCTTCCTGACTGTGGGTGCAATGTGACCATCTGCCTCACACTTCCGCCACCATGATGAAATGTGTACCCACAAACTCAACCAAAACAAATCTTCTTCAATGAGTTTTTGTTAGGTTTTTGTCACAGCAAGAGAAAAGAAGTGACACAGTGTTGTTCAGATCTGTGTCTTTGCTGACTTGGAGATGGGGTTGTTCATCTGTTTTGAGACAGTTGTGTCCAAACTCTAATAGGACTCTGGGATTGTCATTTCTTGCACAAATCTGCCACTGTGTGCATCTTGCTCTTGGTGGTCTGAAGTCTTGGACACAGACCTTTCTCACTGTTAATGTTCTCAGGATGAATAGATCCCATTATTACAAAATGCCTTTTCCATCTCTGCTAATACTCTCATTTTAACTTTTATCTTCCCTGGTATCAACATAATTATTGCCATCTATTTATGCTACTGTTTACATGGCATGCATTTTCTTTATTTTCATTCTGCCCCTCACATTAAAAATAAATACTGTGAAGACAGCACACAGTTAGATCTTGCTTTTAAAAGATCTGTTTCACAAACTCTGCCTTTTTAGTTGAGCTGTTCATTTGATTTGTGGTTGATATAGTTCTGGGAACTGTTTGGCTTATATCCGGTGTGTTTTTATGATTTTCTTTATCACCTCTCTTTTCTTCTTCTGTTTCTTCTATCCTGTATTTTTCAGATTAAATATTCAGAACTGCCTTTTACTTTATCTAGTGAGGTTATAGCTACACTTTCCTGTGCTATATTTTTGAGCTGTTGTTCTAGGAACTGGTGCACATCTCATTTATGTCATAATATTTCCCTACAATCTGAGGACACGGCAGTTTTCCAGGTCAGTCTCCACTCTGTCATCCCTTCACTCTCGCATGTACTGCGATTTCTGAAATCTCAAGACAGATGGTATTAGAGGTTTTTTAAATTTAAATTATATACTACTCTTATGTCTCACCTTTCAGAAAGTTTAGTAATAAATATTTTTGTTAACTTTTGGGAGATTGTGATAGACTATGTCTTGGTGGAAACATCTGCTTTAAAATAATTTCTTTTGGACTGGACCTGCATGGACTGAGTCTACCAGGTTGATCGCAGTCCTCGGAGGAGGCTTTGCCCTGGAGGAAGTGGGAATGGGGGGTGGGCTGGGGATAAGTGGAGGGGGTGGGAGGGGGGAGAACAGGGGAACCCATGGCTGATATGTAGAACTGAATGGTATTGTAAAATAAAATAAAAGGAAAAAAATAATTTCTTTTGTGGCTTGTATTTCCTCTCTTTTCATTTATTTAGACCATATTGGCCATCAGAGAGCTAGCTCAGCGAGCCCTGAGCATTCAGCCTCTTGTGTGGGCATG